AAAAAAAACCTCTTTTCGCTTCTTAGCCAAAAGGAAAACTCTTCCATCTCAACATTTTCTCTCCTACAAACTATCATGTCTCTCCATGATTGGATGAAAAAAAAATAAAAAACTTGAAACCAAAGTTGGTCTGTCTCATTATCTGTCAATAAATAATAAATCAATCAAAATCGTAATCTAGTAAACACCAGAAGGAAATAGAAATCCTGGGATCACTTCAACCATCTAAACAAAGAATATAACAGAAAAAAGAAAGAAAAACAAAAACCAGCAAATATCGGAAATGAATACTTTGACAAGGATGATCAATACCCTGTTGATGCTGATGCACTGCTTAATGAGAAGATGTTTGCACAGAACAGCTGCCAGATGTGCTTGCTTCTCCGGACTGACTGACCTGAGGTGATCCAATGTACTTATGCGGGACATGGGATATTTTAAACCAATCCTCACCACTTCCTTGTCTACATCTTTCCTCAAGCTCTGGACATTCTTGAATGGAGAGGTGCTGGAGTTTAGTCAGATGCTTGAGACCTGGTGGCAATTGTTCTAAATTAGGACAGTCAGATATCGTCAAAGATCTAAGAGAATCAAGATCCTCAAACCATTCTGGCAAAGCTGTTAGATCAGGGCAGCTACTAATTTCCATGCAGTTCAAGGTCCTGACATTTTGCAACCCTTCAGGCAGAAAATCAAACCAAGGACAACTCAAAATAGTCAAACTTCGAAGTGAAGAGAGGTGTTGCACACCCTCTGGAAAAGAACCAAGACTGGGACAGTACATAAAGGTCAAGTGTTCAAGCAACGTGAGATGTTCGAAACTACACGAAAGAGATGTAAGACTACTGCAGTTTTCGATGGACAAAGTTCGAAGGGAACTCAAGCCACCAATTCCACCATCTGGCATGGATATTAGACTGTGACAGTCACTAATCTCCAGTGACTCCAGAGCTTTCATGTTCTGCAAACTTGGCAGAGTGTACAGCTCTTCACACCAACCAATGGTCAACGATTTCAGAGCAGAAAGGTTTCCTATCTCTGTAGGCAGTGAAACTAGTTTGGGGCAAGACAAGATCTTCAGAGAAGACAGACGAGCTGATGCAAAAAGCCCTTCGGGGAGAGATACTAGCTCTGGAATTTTTTCTATAACAAGCACAGAAAGCAAACTTAAATTTGCTATGGAAACCAATGTTAGATTACAATCCCGCAGCTCCAGATGTCGAAGGGACATAGACAATGGTATATGTACTAACTTGGGACATCTTTTAACAATTAGTTTCGTTAACTGAGGGAATGCATTTTCTTTATTTCCAGTTGACCACTCTTCCAAGTTTGGAAAATCACTGAGTGATAGTTCTTCAAGTGATGACTGTGCGTTTCTCTGGCGACCATAGAACTCTCTACCAATGCGCTTGACACGTTTCATTCCATGCAGAGAAAGAGTATGAAGTAGCTCCAGATCCCCAAGGGCAGGAAGATGTTCTAAATTGTTACTGTTGGTAAAATCAAGTGAAATCAAATGTTCTGGGAAATCCCAACCATCAAATATGATTCCTGGATATCCATTTATAACAAGTTTTTTCAGATTACGAGGTGGTTCCAGGCCATGAAGAATTCCTAGCACCAGCTCTTCCTCTCTTGCATCAAGATTGATAACAGGTTCATATTGTTTTTTGGTGAATGATTTGTCCACATTTTCAAAACCTCCCCAATATAATCCCAATGACTCAAGATTTTTCTTTCTCATCAAACCAGCTGCTCGTGCTTCTTCTTTATTTCTTACATTCTCCAAGTGTGTAATGTTCAACTTGCCATGAAGATTTAAATCTTTTAGAATACCAATATCAGGGTTCTGATATAATTTGCTAACAACAAATAATGGCAACGTCTGAAGTTGATATAACCTTTCTATCCCAGCAGGCATCTTAGACAAACTTGCACATCCAGTTATATTAAGATGTCTGAGGCTTGTCATCTTTCCAACAAACGGCAAATATTCAAGTTTATCACAACCAAATAGTACTAAAGTCTGCAAAGAACACAGATTGCATGTGCTTTCAGGTAACTTGGTGATAGGTGTGTAAGAAAGGTCAAGATACCTTAAACATATCAAGCCACCCAATGATTCCGGCAAAGTAGAAACATCACAGTTGTTCAGATCTAGCACACGTAAGTATTCAAAACTTGAAAATATTTGATTATTCTTCTCTAACGAGCCGGATTCTCCAATCAATAGGAGACTTCGTAAATGATCTGCTTCATACAGAGCTGCTGGAATTGTAACTTCCCTGTATTTGTAAACAACAGAGGAGTGACGAATTTGTGGTGGAGCTGGACTATTTGTTGGAAGATTCTGTTCAAGTATCACATATTCCTTTTCAGCAACATATCGTGCAAGATCATGAATGATATCATCCATTTTGTATCGAATTGTTCTGCCACCATGGCATTGCTCTACTTCTTGAAAGAAAGACATCCACAGCAGGTCAGTCAAGTACTCATTACCAATGTCTTCTGGTCGCTTGCTTCCTTGTTGTACAATTAAGCCTTCTGCCATCCATAGATAAATTAACTTCTGCTTCTCAAATTCATAATTTCTGGGAAATATTGAGCAGAATGCAAAGCATTGTCTAAGATGTGATGGCAGGTGAAGATAACTCAGCATTAGAGCTGGCAAAACTCTATGTTGGCATACATCTAATCTCCAAAATTCACTATTTTGCATAAAAAACCACTGTTGTTCCTCTCTTTTAAAGCGCATCAAACTTCCCAAACTTTTTACCGCTAGTGGTACACCTCCACATTTTTTGACAATCTGCTTCGCAATCAGCGAAAGGTTTGTATACTTCTCCTCTTCTCCTCGCCTAAAAGCCCGTTGCTTGAACAAAGCCCAGCAATCATCCTCAGCTAAACCCTTCAAATAATATGGAGAAATTGGGGAGTCCCTCATGAATGCAACCTTTTTACTGCGGGTAGTGAGAATGATTTTGCATCCATCAACACCCCCCCTAAACAAAGGCTTCAGTTCATCCCAATCTTCATGCTCTTCAGTCCAAACATCATCTAACACAATGAGATATCTTTTGTTATGTAGCAAATGCCAAAGCCGAGACTGAAGTAGGTCAATCTCCAAGAACTTGCATTCCTCCTTCGTTGCAGACTCGATAACTGTCTTCATTATCTTTTTGACATTGAAAATATCAGAAACAAAGATCCACATTCTAGCATCGAAGTGTTGAATCACCCTCTCATCATTATATGCTAATTGAGCAAGAGTTGTCTTACCAATTCCTCCAATACCAACTATTGGAATACAAACTGCGTATCCCAATTCCTGGCAATGTTGAGAAGATAGTAACAGTTTGACCAAATTCTCTTTGTCATCCTCTCTTCCATATATCTCTGACTTGATCACAAATGAGCTTGTCTCCCTTATGGTGGATTGACGATTTACGACGGTAGGCCGTCTAAACTTAAAGAGTCCATCTTTTACAGTCTTCTCCAACACATGGAGCATCTTTCTAATCTTTTCAGCATCTGTACCTCTTCTAATTTGGGAAGGGAAATCACCATATACATGTTCTATACTCATTAAAGTTTCTCTAGAGGTATAGAAGTCAAGAAGGTCCTCAGCATCACAAGCTGCATTCTTTAGTTTTGACAACCAACGTCTGACAGCTTTGTTGGTCAGTTGTTGCTCTTCTGCATCTTCAAGAGTAGCTTGAACCAGCAGCAAGGTTTCATGTAGGCTTTGGAGGTTGTCCTTGAAATCCCAGATATCAGCAAACTTTTGCAGGACTGGAGATGCTAGTCTGTCAAAGATCACTTGCAAAGCAGGGGATAAAACTAGGTCAGCCATTTCAATAAACAAGGCTCAGATGAGATGAGAAAGGCTGGAAATGAAAGTGGAAATGCAAATTCACTTGAAAGAAAATTGTTGCAAAGCACCAACCAGAAAGATAGAATTCCTTCTCTCTCGCCTTTGAGCCATTTTGTCCTTTTCTTCCCCAATACCTTGTTGTTTCCAAAGACGTTGTAAAATCCAAGGTAGGTGCTATAGAAACCTAAATTTGTCTTCTTTTTGCATGAGTTGTTAAAATTACAATCTGAACACGATCCCAAAATGACTGAATAAGCCAACTACAAACAAGAAGAACAAGAGAGCATACGTATTTCATATAAATTGAAGAAAACTACAAGACATTCATGGTTTGTCCAATAATAGATTGTAGGTTACTAGGCAAATAAGATCAACCAATACCCATTTTTTCTCAACTTGTTTTGGTTACAATTTCTTCATATATTTGAAAAGAACAAGGAGCCAGCGGTCTAATACCAAGACTTTTAGGAGTTGAGCTCGCAGGATTTATTTTGTTGTTCCAATTCATGCATTTCGAGCACGAAAACCTCAATATTCTCAGATTAATGCGACTAGTTTTAGCGGCGATTTTGGAATTGCCAACGAGGTTTTTGTGGACTATTGCATAAGTTTTGACACACAGCAATCCTGAATTTCCTTAAATTTATCTAATGAAACACAGAATAAATAATTAAAGGAATCAGTTTGCACACCAGCTACTTTGTATGAGTAATTTTTTTTTTTCAGAAAAAAAAATGCACATTGGATGCTTATATCAAGATTGAGGTGTTTGTAAAAATTGTAATTAACTTACATAATGCATTGTGTATAAACTTTTCCCCTTATTGTTTATAAAGTCTACAGATGATGTAACATGTTGTATAACTATATTCTTTAGTTTGGCATTTGTTTGGCCACCAAAAAAAAAAATGTTTGGCCACCAAAAAAAAAAAAAAAAAATACCAACTAGCTTAGTAGTGTTTCTTTCTATGACAGTATTCTTTTAACTCGTGGCTTAGCTTGTAAAGCTGCCATTACCTCATCCTTTTTATTTGCATAACCCTATCAGCTTGTAGTTTACTGGTTTGGAGATTTTTATTTACTTTCTCTCTTCGTTTTTATTATTATTATTATTATTATTATATACAGAAATTCTCCTATTCGGACATCCGGACGATATTAATTATCGTGTGGAAGCCATGTATTTTGTACTACCCCTCCTTGTTTTCTTGCCTGTTTACAATGTCATCTGCACGATAATAATGTGTGGACATCCGGATAAGAGAATAACTATATATATATACTTTTTGGTAGAACTGGAAATTTTTCAAAATTAGCATTTCGTTAGGGCATGTTAAAACACAGATTCTTCAGATTCATGATCTGGTGCATTTTTGTATCTGTCATTTTCCTACAGCTAAAATCTACAATGATCTTTTTAGATTCTTTAAACCTCTGTAAAACGTTGTTTACATGGGATTATATATGCCTCATTGATCTATCTGATCACCCCTTGTTTCCTATGCAGTCATATTGGTAAGCACCAAAGCTCATACTCTTCACCATGAGAAATTTCTTTCTTGAACTCAATAATTTGGCAGTGTTTGGGCTAAGCCTCCAAATATGACTACACTAGTAATATAAGCACACACCAATTTCTTGTTAACACTGCCGTTGGCATTACATTAGCAACTATATCAAGCAATAATCTAGAAGAACATGACTTAAACTTAATTAAAACTATGGTAAATAGAAGAAAATTTAAAATTCGGAAAGCAGACAATTGGAGTAGTAATATTAATGAAAAACACACAGATTTTATCAATATGATAAAAGTACAAAACCAGAGGATCTCAAAGCAGCCAGTGTGCACACATAGGAATATAGAAATCCCAAATTGCAATTTACAGCAAAAGGAAATATTGAAACTTTGTGGACACTCCATCCATCTGAAAAACAATATATATAAACAAAGCAAAAGGGCCACACCACACAAAACACCAGGACGGATGATGATTATTATAAAAATAACACTCTTGAGGATGAAGATGAAATAAAAGTTTCGTACCGAACGGATGTTCCAAACTAAGAGTTGCCCGATGTGCTTGCCTCGCTGGATGGTCCAATGTACTTATGTGGGACATGGGCTATTTTCAACCAATCCTCACCACTACCTTGTTTGCACCTTTCCTCAAGCTCAGGACATTCTTGAATAGAGAGGTGCTGGAGTTCGGTGAGAGACTGCAGACCTGATGGCAATACTCT